CCAAAGTGGTACCATGAAAAAACTGTGTTTCGGTCACCATATTTAATCCATTTGCACCTGGATTTTTAGAACCATAAAATTTCTTCTTGGATGAGAATCCTATCATACTCATGCCACAGATCCTTTTGAAGTTTTTCCAAGAAACTGTTGCAACCACCGGCCATATTTCTTTCAATACCATTCAATCTCTTCATAATCCTCATCTTTTTATAAAAGATGTTACCAAAAGCTTCTTGGTTCCATTTCTGAAGGCCCTGTTGAGCAGCAATAATCTTTTCTACCCACGAAGACCCTGAATTCCAGAAAGCACTAACCACCAAGGATAGCTCATGGTGCGTAAGCCATGAAGCCAGAAAATGAAAGGGTCTCCTTCTTCTATTTTGACCTTATTCCTCGCTGAAGACTAGGAAAAGAGGGTTGTGGTCTGACTTCAATTTAGGAAAATGGTACACCGTCATACTTTCATGCATAACCCTCCAATCCAGATTAAAAAGGACCCTGTCCAACCTTTTGTAAATATTTCCCCCAGCCCAAGTGAAGGGGGAGCCCACAAATCCAGCATCGATAAGATCACAATTTCTAATGACCTCCTGAAATCTAGCACTATCACTGTTGGAGCGATTAACATTACCTCCCTTACACTCGTAGGAATGGAGAGTAGTATTGAAGTCGCCCATAATGCACCAAGGCCCATGAACCGTGCTATAAATACCTTGAATATCACTCCAAAGAGCTCTTCGTGAATGCATTTGAGGACTACCATAAATTACTGTAAAAAATCAAGGATCTTTATTACCCCACTAAACCCACAAATGCATATACTGAAACTTCTTCGAAATGACATCAACTTTCCAAAGATTAGTGTCCCAGAGACATCAAATTTCACCTACATAGCCACAAGCTTCACTAACAGCAGAATCATCAAACCCAATTTTTTGAATAATTTTTTCTGCCTTTTCACCACTAGTATGCGTTTCCATCAGAATAACAAAATTTGTACTATGCATATTACGAAGATCTCTAATAATTCCAAGAAAACTCTTACTGCTAGTGCCCCTACAATTCCAACATAACAAGTTCATGAGTACCTATTTAGGATTTGGCTCTCAGAGCCACTGCAGCGTGCGACCAGCATCTCTTCGTCGCATTTCCTGGATCCGCTGGAGTCATTGCAAACTTCTATCTCCATATTCGAATTTGGGGTTGCAGATGGGTCTGGAGGGTCTGGCGGTTTCTCTACTGTACCTTTTGTAGAAGCATGATTTTGAACAAAGTTGATGGCATCTATGTTAGGAAGAATAGTGTGAACCGCGAATTGATCCAGTGAGTTGCCGTGCATTTTTTTGTAAATCTTCATGAGATGCAAAAAGTTTGCCTCATCCTTTCTTTTCTTCTCTCTCTGTTTGGCAGTGATTTCATGTTGTGAAGAGTTCACAGTCTCTTTCCCAGAGGAGCCAGGGACGCTAGTTGGAGTGATAGAGTTGGGCTTATTTTTCTCTAATGATTTAATTTTCTTTTCAAAGGGTTGGGCCTTAATATATTTCCCACTCTTTTGTTGAGGATTCCTGCCACTATATGGGCTTTTAACTTTACTAGACTTAGCCTCATTTCTTCTATTATTTTGAGTGAGGCCACTCTCCTCATGTTGCACGTGGACAACATGACTTTCATGCATATCAGTGACCGTTTCAACCATAATCTTCTCAGCATCCATTTCAGATTCTTCTTAATGCAAAGCATTAAAGTGTGATCCCTTGGCCTGGTTACCCTTATTTCCTCCTGCGTAATTCACTCCTCTTCCTTGCGTGGTGATTCTTTCCTTTTTTCTAACCGCATGTTTCACAAGCATCCAAGGACCGAACGAGTTTTCTTTTTCCTTGGGAAGATTCTTTCCATTCTCAATAGCACCAGACAGTGTAATTAACTCATTATTATTAATCATCACATCTTTCTCCTTGATTTGCGTTGTATTTCCCAAATTGTTTCCGATAGAACTCATCTCCATGGCTCTCTCCTCCGGTTGCACCACCGTTGGATCCACTGGAGGATCTGGATTCTTTTCCGAGCACCACTCTTGTTTATGACTGTAACGATCACAATTAAAGCAAACTTGATGGAGACCCTCATATTCCAAATTCAGCGCAACACCCCAAACTTTAACTTGAGGAACTAGCTTCTTCCATATATCTAATTCAACGCAAATACGAACAAATCTTCCTCTAGAATGTGACGTCATTTGATCAACCTTCAACATGGTTTCTATCTTCGACCCAACTCTTCTCAGAAAATTTGTGTTATAAAGCTCCATGTTAAGACCTGGAATCCTCACCCACACCACTATCTTTCGTACCTTTTGTTCCGTTTCCAAAAAGAACAGCCTTCACCTTTGAACGATCAAGTAGTGGTTAGCAACCTTCCAAGGTCCTCCATAGAGTGCATGCTTATAATCATTTTCATCCGTGAAGCTCACAATATAATAGTCCCTGGGCAAGCCAATGATTTTTATGGATCCAGCCCTTAACCAATCCCTCTTTAACTTGTTCTTCAATATGCGTGGATGAATTCTTTTCCCAAAAACTTTCACAATCAGGGAGCCCCTCCATGGTTTACACCATTCTTCGAACTCTTCTTGCGACACTTCAATTTCTGGGCACGGATCGAATTCCTCCTCTCCCCTCATATCCTCATCCTGTTTATACCACTTGTTCTCCGGTAGATCCTCATCATCACTAATAAAACCTCCTTGGGACTTATCACCAATGCTATGCATAAGGGAAGCCATATAAGAGGCATGATTGTGAATTAGTCCTTCTTTCTCCATTTCATTAACCGCAACAATAACATCATCCATTGATTCTTGAGTAATAAGCAAAGGATTGTCAACTTTGACTTTCTTCATGGATCTTTCTTTCAAATCTTCTTCTTGAATAGAGGGTCCCTCATCCTTTTTTCCATTAACAGAGACAAACCCTTGAAAAATATTCATTCTTTAGTTTTATTATAGTTGCCACAAAAATTATATTCACAATTTCATGATCAATGATTATGGGTGTCTCTCATTCCAAAAGATTCAATACTGATTTTTGGCTCAAAAGAAATTTGATTACAGTGAAATTCAAATACAAAATTTTTTGCTAAATAAATGAACCACATACATGTGATCTTAATGGGACCTTACACCATTGCACCAACTCTTTGGATTTAACTTATTTTATTAATTAAAGCTATTATGTTAACATATTAATTTAAAATTGTTTAGTAAAATTAGTTAACAGAGGGACATGTTTATATGATTTTTATATAAATTGTATTTTTTTTAAATGCTTTTTAAATAAATTACATTTTTGTTTTGTAGAAAAGGTTTAGGTAATTATCATTTTAAGGTTTTTTTAATTAGTTTAAACTTAGTATAATTTTTTGTTTAAAGATTAAAATATTTTATTAAAAATAAAATAAATAGTTTAAATGTTGTAATAATTGAGGGTAAAATATGAAAACAAAATAGTATATTCTTATATAAATGCATTGAGGGAATATCATAATAATGCCTCAAGGGATACTTCAAAACTATGTTGAGAAAGTCATTTTATCTTGCTTACTTTTTAATTAAAATTTTAATAATCAATTTATTAAACATTAATGATATGATATTTTTAATTTATTAACCTATTTTTATATATTTTTTTATGAGTAATTTTTTCTCTAAATTATTGTTAGGTGATAAATAATTCAACACTAATTTAAAAACATATCTTTCAAACTATATTTATTATTCTCACATATTTAAAACGCAACAACTAAAATATAATAAATAAATAAAAATTAAGAAAGAAAAAAATGTTTTGAATCGTTTTAAAAATCTTGAAAAAAATTTCAAATTCCATCAACAAAAAGTTTAAAGTTGAAGTTAAATTCTCTTATCATGAATTTAAGTTTTTATACCAACTTCATATGAATTCTAATTTGGTAGTCTATGTAGTTTACAAATATTTTACTTTTAAATAAAGATAAATAATTCAATAATTATTTTTTATAAATATAAAAATATCAAAACATACATAAATATTTATAAAATTTTAAAAAGTTATATAAGATAATAAAGAAATTTTTATAAATATAAACGTTTATATAATATAATACAAAAATTTATAATAATTTTAATCTTTAAAATTTAGAAATTTTTTAAAAAATACATAAAAATTAAAGTAATAGAACGAAAGAAATATAATTTACACATTATTATCAATTTTTAATTTTAAAACATAAACATGACAAATTATGGAAGAGAATAACAATGCTTCACTTTTTAAATACTAGATCATTAATACTTGATAAGTATATAATAATATTAATTATTAAGGATTCAATTTAAAAAATTTTAAATTATAAAGACTTAATGAAAAATTTTAAATTATGAAAACTAAATGATTTTTTTTTAAAAGATTATAAGAACTTACTGGTTAATTTATTTATTTTTTAACTCTAACTTTAAAGTTTCCAAAAAATCAAGTCAAAAAATACATAACTTTCAATATGATCTTCTATTATTCATTCCCGTGTTCAATAATTTATAAATTGATTATTATTTAAAAATATTTTAACATCTTTAAAAAGAATATCAATGGTAAACAATTATGTTACAATGTGTTCTAATTAATATTTCTCGTAACACATATTGAACATTTAACAAAGCAGGGGTAATAAATAAATTTTTTATGAATTAAAATATATTCAAAGTTTTCTTGTATTTTTAAAAAGTTTGGAATAGAATTTTTATAATTTACGAAATTTTAATCCTAATAATATTTTATAAATTTTTTACAATGAATATCTAAAATGAAAGGATTTAAGCTTCCTCTAACAAGCACAATCACAGTGAGTTTAGTTGATAGATGCTATCCTCATAGTTTGGGAAAATTTCCTTCGGCTTTGTCTGCTGTGTCTTTTCGCTCTTTCTTCATCCGTTCTTCAAATTAGTGCCTTAAATGATATATATTGAATTCGTGTTATTTTTGTATCGGTTCTTCAAACTATCTCTTTACGTTGAATCCCTTCGTTGGTGTTTCAGCTTTGATGTTTAGTAATATTCAAATCTTGCTGTTCTGTTGATTGCTCGGTTAGTATCTGAGCTTTGTTGCTTGTTTGCATGATTTTTTAGGCTACGCAATATAAGAATGAGCTAACATTGTGTTGCGATTTAAATATGAAATAAGATGCATATCACATGTTTGATTAATGTTCTGATATAAATGAGATGGCGTTTGGTGAGTACTATAGGTATACTTTATATGGGAATTTGGAAATTTTTATCAGTGATATCACTTTTTTATGAATATTCATTTTTATATCTCTGTTTACTATCCTTCCCAGCATAATTATTAGCTTTTTATTCAACATTTTCTCTTTTCATCTGTGTTACCGACACCAAGCAATTTGATGGGCTATTTTTTTTCCCCTTAATGATACTTTATCTTAATATTTATGAATTGATAGAGGGTGTTGTATAATTAATTATTGTTGCTGTATATTGATATACACTATGGTGTTTTTTTTTTTTCAAACATGAGACATGATTAGAATAGCTAAAGATAGGGTGGAAGTAACCACATTTGATCTTGTAGCTTTGTGTCATTTAGTTGGCAACTGTGAAAGTATTTAAGATTAACATGTTTGTAGGCCTGATGTTTTTGGAAAGCTAACAATGTAAAAGCTTTTTTAGAAAAAGCTAGAAGCTTCATCTCAGTTAACTAAAATGATCATAAACTAATAAAGACATTTTAAAAATATTTTTTCTGGCGTGAGAATCCATTAAAAGATTTTAACAACCTATTTAAAAATTGAATGAATTATAAACATATGAGCACTAATTTAATTCTTTTTTATTAATGTTTTATTTTATAATGTTTTAATGAGATATTCCACTTCTTCAGGATCAAAATAAATGCATGAGCCAGAAAACCAATCATTGCATTGGAAAATATGATTCTGAAATGAAGATGAAGAGGGCCATATTGATCATGGTCACAGACAGACATGGTTTCCATTGAGAGTCATAGCCAATTTATTGATAGTGTGTGCGCAATCATTCTCAAGGGTCAATGGGGCAATCTGTTGAAGGCAAAGAAGAATGCCAGTGCCCTCGCTTCCACTACCATTTACCAGGTACTTTTGCGGCTCTCACTCTATGGTTATGGGCCCTCTCATTCCTTCCCATTTTACAAATGGCTTGACACCATCCCACAGTATAACCACTCCTTGCAATGTTCATGGGCGATGATTCACATCCTCACCAAATATAAACATTTTAGAACTGCACAACATATGCTTGAAAAAATTGCCCACAAGGATTTTCTTTCATCACCTTCAGTTTTGAGCAGTCTGGTGAGGACTCTTGACGACCCAGAAGTTAATGCACAAGTGTTGAGCTGGCTTGTCATACATTATGCGAAGTCACAGATGATCCCAGATGCAATTGAAGTTTTTGAACAGATGAGGTTATATAATGTCAAACCTCATTTACATGCTTGTACTGTGCTTTTGAATTCCTTGTTGAAGGATGGAGTTACGCACATGGTTTGGAAAATTTACAAGAGAATGATTCAAGAAGGAGTTGTTCCCAATATGTACATTTACAATTGTTTAATGCATGCTTGTTCCAAATCCGGAGATGTGGAAAGGGCAGAACAGTTATTAAGTGAGATGGAAGTAAAAAGTGTGTTTCCTGATATCTTCACTTACAATACTTTGATATCATTATATTGCAAAAAAAGTATGCACTATGAGGCTTTATCAATTCAGGACAAAATGGAAAGAGAGGGAATAAATCTTGATATTGTTAGTTATAATTCTCTTATTTATGGATTTTGCAAAGAAGGTAGGATGAGAGAAGCTATGAGAATGTTTAGCGAAATAAAAAATGCAACTCCCAATCATGTGACATATACTACACTGATTGATGGTTATTGTAAAATGAATGAATTAGATCAAGCTCTGAAAATACGTGAGCTAATGGAGGCTAAGGGATTGTTCCCTGGAGTCGTTACTTATAATTCAATTTTGCGCAAGCTGTGTCAAGATGGCAGGATAAGGGATGCAAACAAACTCTTGAATGAGATGAGTGAAAGAAAAGTTCTAGCGGACAATATCACATGTAACACCCTTATTAATGCCTACTGCAAGATAGGAGATTTGAAATCTGCTATGAAATTTAAGAACAAGATGTTAGAAGCTGGACTAAAGCCTGATCCATTTACATTTAAGGCACTGATTCATGGGTTCTGTAAGACAAGTGAACTGGAAAGTGCAAAGGAGATAATGTTTAGCATGCTTGATGCTGGATTTACCCCCAGTTATTGCACGTACTCATGGATTGTAGATGGCTACTGCAAGAGAGAGAATATGGACGCAGTTTTAGCTCTACCAGATGAGTTCTTGAGCAGAGGTCTTTGTCTTGATGTTTCAGTATACAGGGCATTGATAAGGAGGTCATGCAAGGTAGCAAGGATTGAATGTGCTGAAAAGTTATTCAATCATATGGAAGGAAATGGTATATCAGGTGACAGTGTTATCTACACCAGTCTCGCATATGCTTATTGGAAAGAGGGTAAGGTAAGTGCTGCCTCAAATATTTTAGAAGAGATGGCTAGGAGGAGGTTGATGATAACAGTAAAACTTTATAGTTGCTTTAGCTCTTCTGATGCTAGTGAAAACAAAGTGTCACAGGTCTTCTGGGATCATGTGGTGGATAGGGGCCTGATGTCGAGAAATGCAATGAATAAAATACAGCAGATGATGGTACGTGTCTGATTTCCTTTAAGCAAAGTCTCAGGTTCAAGTCTTGTGTATGATAAAAAGCTCACACTGGGAGAGTTATACCATGTCGTGAATGTTCCTAACTAGAACAAGATTGTCTTCTATGAAGGATATTTGTATTCTAGACCAAAGAGAAACACAGAAATACAGAAGATGCTGATATGATGGTAATCTTGCTTGTGAAAGACCCTTCACAACTAGAAGATTCTACCTACACTTGTCAGCAATACATTGCTTCTGGTTGTGACAGATTCTTTCTTCATGTTATTAGAATTTGGAAAATCTTTTGACTTTTGGGGAAATACATGATAGGGACCTGTAACAAACCTTGAATGAAAATCATCATAAATGATCTTACTTTGAAACCTATTTATGCTTCATTTTTTTGACACCAGATATGACATTTGTCTCTCTGTATGTGACCGGGAACTAACTGTAGTTTTTTCTTCTAGAAGGTTATATTGCCGAAAAATCTTGAGTTCTCCCTCCCATCATTTTTAGGTTATTAGGATGGAAATGGAAGTACGTATCTTCTAATATATAGGTGGTTAGGCCATCATCACGATTGAACAGAATCTCAAGCAAGTATTTTACATTTGATTTGGATAATTGTAAGACTTAAAGTTTTTTTTGCTATGATAATGCATGTTGTGTTGTCTTTTGTGCTTGTTTATCTCATGAATCACAATCTTGATAATCTCTCTGCATATCTAGCAAAAGATAGTTTAGACATTCCTCTTAAAGTCTGCCATTGGTTTTTGTCAAGGCCACTAATCTGTGAGTAAATAAAACCGAAAAGAGAATGGTGAAATATTAGACATGACAACACTTTTTTTGAAAGCTGTCTTACTAAATTGAAGAATATTTCCGAGGTTACGAGAAATTCCTCCTAGAAACATACAACAGTGTATTTAATTCTCTAAATATATACATGTAAAGATCTCCGTTATAGATAGTACCATTAACACATTAGATTTTTCGTTTAGCACTATATTAAACCCTTATTCAATAAGAATTTATTTTAAACAATAGTTTTTACTATAAATTTAACTATAAAATTTATTGTAATAAGCTAAAAGCAACTTCTTTTATTAAACTGCACTAAAAAGTTTATGAAATAAGGTAAGCTTTTCTTCATAACTGTTCATAAGCTCTTTCAACAAGGCCTTCTTGTATCTTCATTTATCAGTTTTACATCAAAATCTTTGCTTGGAGGATACTTTATCAATCATGACGGTTCATAAGCATGGGGCTCAATAATAAAAAATTATCGATAGAAATAAAATACAAATGTGTTACATCTCAACGATAAGGTTAATCCATTTATATGAGAGTCAAGATACAAGTTTAGTGCCATCAAACATCTCATCAGAGTCCTTAACTTGGCAACAGAAAGTGTGGGAGCGTAATGATTGTAATTCAACAATGCTTTCCTTCGAAGCTATAATGGTAAATAAACTTACCTCATTAAACACACACAAGTCTTGATAAAAGAAGGCGATTCTCAGTGCTGGGGTGTATGAGTATATTATATATTAAGTTTTATATAGCACTTAACTTAAAGAAATGATTTATAAAAAAAGTTATATGTCTCCTAATAAAATTAAAACCGATAAAAAAAAAAGAAAGAAAAGACTTGCACGGGTCGGGACAAGTACAAATAGTAGCTACTTGCTACCCGTACTCAGAGTAAAATTAAAATACAAGTATTCATGGATATTTATATAAGAAAAAATTATAAGAAAATCTTGAAAATAATTTAATTTAAAGTAATTTATATATAAAATGATAATTAGAAAAAAAAGTGCTTGAGTTATAAAAATAGTATAATATTTTGTCACAATAACAAGAATATAGTATTAAGTTAAAAACATGTTAAAATTATCATAAAATAATAATATTAGAAATATATTTGCTTGAATATCCGTAATTGATTTTTTTATAATTTTGTAGGTATGAGTGGCCACGAGTATGAATACTAATACATGCACCAGTCCCGTTACTAAGTGGGTAGAAGAAATTTTTTTGGTTAATCCTGTGGGTATCTATGAGTGTGGGTATTTTAACCCGTGACTGTGTCATTCATATATTCGAGTTACGTAAAACATGTATATCAAACATGTGTATTGGAGATTATATAGTTGGGAAAAAAAAGTGTGTAACACTAATGCATGGCAAAGATGAAGAAGAGGTAGTCAAAATGAAGAATGTAAAGAGAAGAATATTAAGGATACAATGACAAAAGATGTTTGATGGTTGATGAAATAGGTGTTGTTGTAGTTAACATTGTTATCAAATAATAATTATTATAATAGTAAGTTATTGTCTAAGTTCAGAATATTTTATTTTCTTACTTCAGTTAGTTATTTTAGTCAATGGCTTGTACGTAAATATCCTACATTAAATATATTATTTTACTTTAGATAAAGTTAGCACTACATTTTCTCATATATATTTTATAACACTTTTATTATTAGTTAAATTTTATTAAAATTTTAAAAAAATATGTGAGTTTCATTTTTTCTCATTCTTAAATTAATGTTTTTTCCTCATACTTTTTTAATTTTTAATAAATTTTAGTTAATAATAAAAAATTTATTAAAAAAAAAGTGTTTTAGAAAATATGCTACTAAAATTCTTCTTTTATTTTAATTTTTTGAAAAGCATGATACTCGATTTTTTTAAAGAATGTTGCTACTATTTAATAACAAGAATGATCAACTTCACATTTCATAAAGTTGAATAATCAAATAATGATATGATAGGTCTTAAAATATTATATCAATACTGTTATTGTGTTAAAGTTAAGATGATTTAGATAAAGAGAAAGAGAATAGAGAAAAAATAGTAACAAACTAACATTGAATTGAGAAATTCATGATGCTCAAAGTATTATTCCTTATTTATACTAATTATAATTTTAACTAAAAAAAATTAAACTATGAGATAAATGAGAGAATATAATAACTAATGATAAAAAATAATAAAAATAAAAAATAATCCTAAAATAGTCTATGATACTATTAATACAATAATTTTTTTATATATATTTCTATACTGTCTAATAATTATAAATCATATATAATTATCAACAAGGGTGTGTGTTTAATATTAATAGTGTTTTATTTTTATTTTTTAAAGAAATATCATTTATGAAAATAATAAAGAACTCACAAACATTTTTTAATGTTAGAAATCAACTTAGTAAAAGGGGTTATTAAACTTTTTTTTGAGAAAGAAAAAACAAATATTTAAAGGTCAAAGAAAAAGTAAAGATACAAATTTAATAGAATTTTAGAGAGTTTATAAAACTTTTAAAATTTTGTTCACCTTTCATCGTCCATCAATTAATTTTGTCCATTAATGCACCAACGTCTGGCTGAACCCCACACATTTCGCATTTAGGATAGAGATTTATAAGATAAGTAAAATATTCAACTTTTTTAAAAGTTTAAATACTAATCTCAACTTTTTTAATTTCTTATGTTTTACGAAAATAATGTAAGAATGATATAATAAAGATATGGTAGGAATTATTATTTACCAAAAAAATAAATAAGAAAACACAATGCGAATATCATTACCAGTAGATTTGCATTTATAGCTTTTTTACCATTTAAATTTGAGAGTAAAAGTAAACTAACAGAGGCACAGTGGAAATAATAAAAAAATTGCTATTTGTAATGGAATTCTTTCTCAAGCTATTTACAGTGAGGGACTTAAAACTATTTATCCTTTTTGCATGATCAATGGGACAAGAGAGGAAAATGTTCTAGGCACTACCTATCTTTTATCAATTTTAATTTGAAACCATTTTTAACTGCTACATTTTAATCTGGTTTTGTTTGGAGTGTGGCTTTCTTCCATGTCTTTTCTTTTGTTACTGAAGGGTTGGGCTTGCTCTTCCTTAACTCTTGATTTCAACAAATGGGGCTTGAGCTTATTAACATCTGATTGTTGAACTGGTTTCAAAAAGAATTCTTCAGCTCCCTCTTCCAAGCATCTGATGTAAACAAAAGTTATGTCAGTCAATTTTGAAATTTAATTTAAAATTTTTCAAAACAATTAGGTTGATATTGGATTGAGTTTAGAGGATTCAGTTCCTTCACCTGTTAATCCTTGATGGTACATTCTCTGAGGACATAATCACCACTGGTATGTCTTTCAGAGATTTTGATTCCTGCAAATCAATGTACTTTTATTATTTTTTAAAATCAAGCAGTCAGATATATGGCCATGAAGTCACCAACAAATTTGATTTGAGATTTGTTAAATTTGAAATTTGGGAAATATCCCAGCACAGATGGCAGAAGTGATTCTTTTATTTAAAATATAGTTGTTTGAAAATTCACTTCACTTGTATTTAAGAAATAAGATCCTATCTTTTCAAATTGTTTCCTAAAAAGAAAAGGCAAAATCAAATCCTTTGTACACAATTTGACCATGCTCTTTGATTCATTCAAATTTTGAAAACGAGAAAACAAATTATGACATAATTTAGTTAAATTGAAGCTAGACTAATCAAATAAAGATGTGACACAAGCTTCTTATAAAAATTCCTGGAAAATATTTCTAGAGCCTACCTTGATTTTTCTCAGCAGGTCATAGCCAGTCATTCCTGGCATACAGTAATCTGTTATAATCAGGTTTACTTCCTCATCCTGCATGAATAATTGAATCAAAGATTAATACAAACTTGTCCATTATAATGTTTAAACTTATATAAACACATATGAGAAATTTAGTAAGAGAAATGAACCTGATGAATTTCTGAAGCAACAGGAGTGTCTAGAGTCCTTAATTCATCTTCCATCAAACCAAGAAATTTTAAAGCCTTACTGGCAGAGTCCACTGTAGTAACTGTGATTTCACACACATCCACTAAAATCAAATATCAGGCATATACATAAGGAGAAAATTTATATTCTGTTTTGTACTATATTAATTAAAATTAGAGTTTTATTTCAATAAAATATTTTTATTTAACTTTATCACAGATAATTGCAGTAAAACTTCAAATTTTATTGGTAAACAACATCAACTGCGCCTAAGCAACTGTACCAAAGTTTTGTCCTTAACATAGATGATTACACAAACAGCATGTCCATATGTTTCTTTCATTTTGTGGCAGTTTTATAATAAAAATTCATATTAAAAGAGATAAAATAAAAAGTGGTCAAGAAAAATACCATGGAAGGAAGAGGTTTTCAGGAGCCTCTCAATTAACATTCTATCAATAAGACTGTCATCAACAGCCAAAACATGGAACTGGGCCCCTGCAGCCATACCCATAACTTGGAAGAAAAAATGTGCAATCCACAGCGGAAAGAAGAGAACAAGGAAGAGTTGTACAATGCTTAAGGGAGAGATGAAGAATGTGATGAATCAGAATGTGACATTTTAAATGGTCAGCAAGATGCATAATCCTCATAGGAAATCTGACAGTTTGGAAAGTGATATCCCACAGATTTCATCCAGAATCTCAAGGATCTTCTAGGTTGATTTTTGAATTGAAGAACAAGCAAAGAAGGTGGTGTTGTTTTACCAAATTTAAAATTGGACTTTTTCATCATTGTTTTATTTGACCCTTTTGCTAATCATAAGCAACTATTAAGGTGAGTTGTATAATACTACTCTTCTCTCAGTTCTCACCTTCAGTTGCCTCTTCATGAGACCTAAAGGGCATTGATTAGAGAAAAAAAAAGCATAAAAAATCTCTATTCCATTCATGCATGTGCATCAACTGCTTAGTGCTTTGCACTTAACCCCACTTCCTAGTAGCACCAGCAAGTATATATAATTTCCTTGCATTTTTATTTGTTCGTCCTTTGACAAATTTTAAGGGACAATTTTGACGAATCCTGTGTTTCTCTCCCCAAAACATATCTCCATTTTATTTATTTATGTTTAAATTGTCTTACTTTTGATTCATACGATTTCTTTTTCTTTCTTTATATTGTCATTTGATTAAATCAAAAATTTGGTATCTCCATCTTACATTTTTTTTATTACTTTAATGCTTACATGATTTTATTTTTTTTATAATTTTGATCCTATATAAAAAAAAGTATTTATAAATTAATCTTAATTTGTCATTTCTCGAATTTGTAATGGTATTGGATTTGGTCCCAATTACACGATTCTCTTTTTGGTTTTACTCTTGGTATGAAAAATTTTACACTTTTAAAAAAAATTTCTACAGAGAAAAACATCTATATATTGATATCTTCATTTTATTTATCTCTTTTTATTTTATTCCCTATGTGAAAAAGTTCTAACACAATTTTATAAATGATCGGAACTTATTTATAAAAAACTTTTCATGTAAAAATTAAAATATAAAACATTTCAAATAGACATTAAAGTAAAAAGGCAATATTTAGTATAAGGACTAAAATAATAATTTAATCTTATTATTTTCTGCTGCATTCTTTATATTATTCTTTTTGTGGTTACTTGACTTGGTCAATTTAAATAGTTAGAAGGAGAATAATTAATAAATAAAACATAGTCAACTTTAATTATAATATTAAATTCGCCGAATTATTCTTCTTTAAAATCTAAACTATGCTTAGTACCTTAGCTTTACCCTATTATATGTTGTCAAAGTCAGCACTGTTCTTTCATTAGAATGTCGTTGACTTTCCACTCTTAATCTCTTTTCCCCATATTCTATTCTCTTCCGGGGTCAATATAGTCTGAAACATATATAATTGAAATAGAAAATGTTGTTTATATTGTTAAAAGAACACGCTTTTAACTATGCTTTTTTTTAGAGTTTTGTTGTGTTCGGGATAAAAATTAAAAGTAAAAAATATTTATTAAAAATCATGTTAGATTATTAAAAATTAAGAGAGAAGTATATAAATATTATTTTTTTAATAAAAGTTTGTTTTGAATTTTTTATAGATTACTAATTAGAATCTTTCTTTTATAGTTACAGTATTATTTTGAAGTACAAGTATACACTAAAAAAATAATGATATAAAATATTACATACAATATTAATTTTTAATAATTTAAATATAAAATTGTTAAATGTAATTGACAGCATGTGACTTGTTAAAAAATTGCATATATTTCATACACTGATCTTTCGTTGCAAATCATCTGTCTGTCTTGTAGAATGATTTTTATTGTTCTGTTATTTGAGTGCAACTCTCTGTTTTTTCTTTTTATAATTATGTAAAATAACTAAGAATTAAAATCTTAAGAGATTTAACCACTCTATAAAAAGGCAAACACCGTTAAAGATTTGAGTCTCCATATTTCATTTTAGAGAAAAAAAAAACTATTTCCGTCAATAAGAAAATTAGACAATAAATTTAAAGAACTTTTATATTTTTTCATATATATATATATATATATATATATATATATATATATATATATATATATATATATATATATATATATATATATAATCACAATTTCAATTATTTATTTTAAATTCAATGATAATGACTATATACCTTTTACTCTTAAGTTTAACAATTTTAGAATGATCCGATCCTTGATTTAATATATAGGGATGAATTAGAAAATAATCTATTTTTTAAAATGTTAATTAATCAACTCCTCTTAGCTGTGTGAACAATGGAAATTAATATAAAAAAAAAATTGTTAACACTGTCTTTTAATCCTTATTTTTATTATTGGATAAAATTTTATACTCCTTCCTTGAAAAACTTAAGTTATATTTTGATTTATGAAAAAAGATGGAATAAGATGAAATCAATTAAAATGAAACGAAACAAAATAAAAAAATAAAGGAGTGAAAATTCCATTTCATTGTTTAAATGTAAAAATATCATGTAATAAAACAATTCATTCCATTATTTGGAGAGTGAATAAAGTATAATAAAGTATAATTTTTTATTCATATAGTACCCTTTAAAAACACATTTTGAATTTAATTTTTATACTTTACTGTTATATAACTTCAACAAATTATTATTAAATAAAACAATATTATTAGTTATTTTTACCATACTAGCTAAGGCCATAAGGCAAAAAAAAAATATGATAATTAATTTTAAATTAAGAAAAAGGTAATCAATAAATAAATATATCACTTTTATTTTATTAAAAAGAGTTATTTGCATATTAATCATTAGAAATAATTAGAAATAATTTTTTAATCGATACTTACTTTTTTAAAAGAATATATTTATTGAATTATTTTGAATTTTTATAAACTAAAAATTACACACACGTATACTTTATAAAGATATTCATATTTATTTAAAGTTGATGTCATGATATATATATATATATTTTACGATTATTTTTTAAAGTAATTACTAAAGAAAACTAATAAAAGTAAAAATAAATTGTGTTTTAGAGAAGAACAATTTTATGTGTGTATATTTTGTTGAACACATTAGATAAATGAATGTTTAAAAATATGTTAAAAATTTAATAATTACGATTCAAAAATTTTACTGTTAATATTAAAAATGTTATTGTCATTAATTTTTTAGATTAATTTTAAATATTCATTAATAAATTTTTAAAACTTTGGTTTTATATGTTTAAAATTAATATGATATTAATAATTATTAATTAATAATAAGATATTTTTTAATGTATTTGATTTTTTTTTAATAATGACACTATACAAAAATTGAAGAATAATAATAATAATAAATAACAAATGTAGATCCAAATAGAGATTAATGTTTAATTAAGATTTTAAAATGTTAAATTTCAAGTATGATTTTAATGATCAAATAATGATTCAACGAGTAGCTTAAATAATCTCTGTAGAGATTCATATAATTTAGTAATCCATTTTTAAAGTCATGAAGAGCTTTTCCAATGGTCCTTAATTTCATAAAATCATAAAACGTCATTCTAATTATCATGTATTGTAAAAACTAAGCATATACAATCTCTTTGAGGTTTTTCATTGCTTACCATTGTAGCACTAGTTTAACATGTCTTATATGAAGTTTAAGTCTTCCTTCTATAGCACATTTTTAATTCCTGTCACAATTACCTTATTTAAGGAAGATGAGCTTTCATCTTAGATCTTAAAATTAATTAACTTTTATATCATTAAACATTTTAATCAAAGTTTAAGGAAAAAGAAAGGAAATTGATATTATGTTGAATTTGAACTTTAAGTTAATCTTAAAAAACTAGCTTGTAAGGTGAGAATTACTTTACTTTTTATAAGTTTTTATTTATCTATATTTATATTCCATGTGATGTTTCAATAAATTTCAATATACCTTTTACTTACAAATTTTAACTTTTTTCTCCATGTCAAATTTCAAAATAGAGTCATCCAAAATCTCAATGATTCTTAGATAAGTGTAATGACTGTTGGTAAGAAATAGCAAAATAAGTGCGAAGATGTCATCATATGCATGTGAAATAAAAATAAGCTTTACATCATCAAAAATAAAGAAATAAAATGAATCAAAATTTTCTTATGAGTTAAAATTAGTATTTGTTGTTTTAATTTTAAAAAAAACATTTTCAATTAACTTCTCAAAATATAATGTGCATAAGTTAATTTTAATTTATGAAAAGAATTTTAGTTATTTTCTATCTATATTTTCTTCTCCAACGTATGTTTCCACATAAGCTTATCCGTATTGGACCAAACCCAACCGCTTTGAATTAATCTTTCTGCATGTCATTTCCAATAGATTGCTAAGATTCAATTATAATATACACTTTTAAAAACGATTTATTTCAAACAGTTCTCTAATCTATTACAAGACATTATATAACACTTATAAATGCTCTTTGAATTCAAACGAAACCACTTTCAAATATCCATTCTAAGTAGTGACCGATACATTGTATCATGAAGATTAAAAAATATTCTTCCTGCAAACATTAGTGTAGTGACATATGCCCAGCTAGATGGTGACACCTATGTCTATGTGCTTCTGAAATGTGGAGAAGCTGTGTCACTTTAAGAAGACTAAGAAAAGGTACCAAAAAACATTGTCCAATACGAGAAACAAGGTGGGAATCCTGTTGATAGGAGAAGCCTAGAGGCAATGGGACACCTTGTATGAAAGTGCATGTGCATGATGCATGATGCATGATGCATGGGAGTGATTTATTTCTTCTATGGAGGAAGCGGCACGTGCCAAAATTGTTCACAACACGTGACCTCACCTACGTGCGAGTCATTATTAGGGGCTCTATCTTTTACTTTTGCCCAAGCTTTTTTGTGCTTTTAGATGCACATATATAAAAAGCAGTGAGAACAAAGTTGCCCTGTCTCTTGGGTCACTTATCACTAACTTTACCCCTTAAAGTATGCGTTGAAGATGCTTCTAGCCACAGACGCTATAAATTTACTTCCTTTAAAGAATAAGGGTACCTCAGAGAGTAAAACTTACAATTTTAATTGTAAATTCAAAATTTCACATTTGAGGTTATTATTATTAGTATTAGTATATGAGATATTGTTATAATTTGATACAATTTTTATTACGTAAAGTTTTATGTTTTTATAGGCAACAAAGTGATAATATAACAATGATGTAAAGAAATCTTTTTCTTTTCATTTTATTTCATACATGTGTGTGTATATATATATTGCAGCGTGGCTTGTAGATCTTTTGTAGTTGCATCGTTACTTTTTTTAATTAGTTTAAATTAGAATATAAATTATTCAAATTTAGCATAAGCTATTATCATACATGATAGTTACAACTTATTAGCACGTATAATATTTTTTTTAAGTTTAATTTATGTTTTTTTAACTGGCTTCTTTAAATTAATCAACAAAAATTTGGAACAATAGTAAGTGATACCTAGCTAAGAAAATGACTTAAAAAAGGGCAATTATTTGAAATGTTTCTTAATGGCGACAATATTTGTGCGTATGGAGATGCAAAAGCTTCTCATATATTTTGGTGTTTCCATCTCCTTAATATAAAATTTATAATTAAACTTGGGATTCTTGCCTAAATCTTCACTCACTCTAACAAATTAGGCCAAGATATTCCTTATCCTATCCTAAATATGTTCTTTAATATAACTGCTTAAAGTGAATAATAGGTTTAAGTAGACTAATTAGGTTGTCTATTTGTTGTCAATTTTTTTTGTCATATGGGGAAAGGGAATAGGAATCGGAAAATAGCTAGGAAAGTGGAGATATTGTGATAACATGTATCGAATCTATAATTTAAGTTAAATAAATTGTTATATATTTTTATCAATTGGTTTATGAAAATACCACTTGTTAGTTGTTAACAAATTAGTCTTATCACGTCATCAACTTATAAACAACATCGTTCTTTACGATTTTATACACTGCTAAGAAAATATTTAAATATTTTAATTTTAAATAAATATAATTACATTTAACTAAAATGCCCTTTTATTCCATCAACTCTCTCTCTCTATATATATAGGATCATTTACTGAATTCACTCAGATTGAAAACCAAGGAGCAACTATATTTATAGCTCAGTATTATTGGAATTACAATATCTAACTAGAATTAACACTTATATAGGTGGCATTAGCTAAAGCAAAAGCCAAACTTGTTTTTTTCTCCTCAAACTCCAGGTCGATATTTGTTGTGACTAGAACCTTGCTGGTCTCTTCTTTGACCCCCATCTATCTTTTTATAAACATAAATTTTGGCAAGCCACACATAAATACACATACTAATTGCACTTAACCCTGCCACAACCCAATAATAGTAATCAAGGTGTGCCCTATTGAGGTTGTTCCCCAACCATTTCTCACCAGTCCTCGATGTAATTGCCACCACAATAACTATAATAGCATTACTAAGAAAGCTTCCAATTCCTATTATGCTTATATATGCTGCAGCCCCCAAGCTTCTCATTGTCTCTGGCATTTGATCATAGAACAACTCTTGCAATCCCACAATTGTGAATGCATCAGCAATTCCAGTGATCATGTACTGAGGAAGCAGCCACCAAATGCTTATTGGCAACACTGCTTTAGGATCATCAATTAGACCATGGTCCCTAGCAACACCAACCCTTTTGGCCTCCACAAGAGCTGAAACAACCATTGTGATTATAGACAAAAATATACCAATTCCAATTCTTTGTAATACTGTTATGCCAGTGGGTTGCTTTGTGAATTTTCTCACCAGTGGCACAAAAACTCTGTCATACAATGGCACAGCAAAGAGGATTGTGAGACCGACAAGTCCTTGAAGTGATGCTGGGGGGATTTGGAAGTTTGGCCCTATGGAACGGATCATTGTAGCACCTTGCTTGATGAAGTATGTATGTACTTGAGCTTGGACAACTGTGAACATCAAACAACTTAGCCATATTGGGATGAGGCGAAGCACAAGCTTCGTTTCTTCAACTTGTGTCACTGAACATAGCCTCCAAGGGTCTCTCTTTTTGCTTTTGGCATCAATGTCATCAATGATAGCTGCCTTGTCCAAAAATCTACCACAATTTTCATATACAATTTTTGTTTTGTCAGAAGAAATAATCTGTGTTAAGGTCTCTTCAGTTATTAGATCATCATCCAAAACAAAATAAAAATGAAAGATACATCTATTTTACTGGATGGTCTAGTAACTGGAGAAGATCTCTTTTTTATGAATTCATTTCCTTTTGATAAGAATGTGGTAACAGAAAGTGTCACCACTACTGTCAAGCAACAAAATCACAGGAAAAGTAATCTGAATCCACAATATATTGTTGGTATCAACTCCAACCATAGACCAACCCAAGTGGCCCCCGTGAGTCTCAATCTTTCAGAGGTGACTCCATTGTTGAACCTAAAAATTCTTCAATTGAATTATCAGGAGTGTTGTGGGAGTAATTCTTGTACCAGAGGCACTCATCTAATCAAAATCTTTGAATGTATTAAAATAAAAACCGATTTGCTAATTATTGTCCTTGTAACTTAAATGATACACTTTTTAATAAAAATCTTTTTAACCATTATTAATTGCTTATCTATTGTCTTAAGAAATCCAAACCAAAATAATAATAAAGATTATTGAAACTTGTGCTGAAGTTTTCTTTTATATATTTATTGTAATAATCTTTGAATTATTTTTGTTTATAAATATTATGGTCATGCAAGAAGGGGTAGCATTGATGATACAAAGGGAAAGAGGGACCTCCTTATTAAGTGAGATATGAAAATGTTGCAGGCATTTATAACATTTTCCATGTATATGGAAAACCTCAACTTAGTTGCTCACTAAAAATTCAAAGTCTCTGATCAAACCAAAAAGCAGATTCTTAACATACAACAATAACAATATCTTATCTCAGTAAGTCAGGTAGGTTGTATGAATAATATGATTCTGTTAAAGTTGATAAAATTAAATTTTCATAAATATTATTTATCATAAAAAAAATTATAAGTTCTTTTAATACTCTTAAATATAAATTTAATTAAACGTATTTAACACACTTTAGTCTTCTCATCACAAATGGAACATCCCTCCACTTGTTCTTCACTAAAGAGAAAATATTTCATGCACCAAAGGGACAAAGAAAAGAAAATGAAAACATTTGTTTGCTTTAAAAAGGAAATGACGTAAAGCATAACTTTCAGAAATTCATGAAAGAAAGAAAAATATGGAGAGTTCTAGTAGAATGAGTGGCACCCACCTGCATTGATGAGTATGGAGCAAAGTGTGAAATTTGGGTTGAACATGCAGATGATGATGGGGCTCATGATGCTCCTCCTCCACCTCCTCATAGCAATAATTGACTTGACTGAGCGTGTCTTGCACGCGCCACTTGCGAGCTGCGGCAACAAAGACTTGGGCCAGCCTTGTGAATGGGCTCCCTGAAGGGCTTTCCCTTCTGTACCTTTTGATTCCCAACAAGAAGAGTGCCAATGCCAAAGCCAACACTGCTGCCAGCACTCCTAACCCCACTCCCCACCCAACATTGTCCTGTTCCACATTCAATGTCCATTGCCATCAACATCATCAATTAGAATTATTTCATTGGCTATTCATCAAAAAGATGATCTAGGAATAAAACTCAATAATTATCAATGTCTTATTAGTCATTCTAAACCATTACATCATATATCTGTGGCTATGATATAACATAGAAGTATGCATAATTTTATCAAGGACAAAAACTAATGTTATGTATTGTTTTTTAAAGGCTTGTTAGTGTTATTTATAAATTATAATCATAACTTTATTTTAATAAAAATTATATTAAATGTCATTGCAGATTATTGAAATTAAACTTTAATTTTAACTAAACTACACCAATAATACATAAAGAATTGCATCAAAGTTTTATTTCTTTTTAAGAGGTTGTGAGATTTTCAATTATTTAATTTCATCCATTTGTGTATCCTTATTAAGAGTATTGTAAGTATACTTTTCAAATGAATGTGTTTACAAAAATAAAAGATAAAAACAATCAGATACATTACATATGTAATATCAAATTTTCAACTATTAAAATAACTTATCACTGTATATTATTGTTTTTGTCTTGTTAATCATGTTTTTTCAAATTACTAAAAAGATTATGTTTCATGACCATCATTTCCTAATACAATGTTAATAATACTAATATAAAAAGAGTAATTAGAGTGATAATAAATCAAGTTTAAACTCTACTTTTGTCCATGACAATGTATGTAAAATAAAAAAATTAGGGACCACTCTTCTCACCTTTTACAGTGAACAATCCGTTTCAATATTACGTGTACGCGGGGGATGCAAAAACGGAAAAGACTTGTTTGAGGAATATGTTCCCATGTTAGTGAAACTTGTTTTTGTAATAAAGAAATGTGTGTGATCCATAAATTCTCCTACTATGATATTTATCTACTAAAGTACTATTCTACTTTGCTTCACAACTCGACAAAACATTTCTATATTGCTTCTCACATTTCACAAACCATACCTACCTTGGCAAACAAATATCTGTTTGATATTATAATTTAATTTTATAACAATTCATTTTTATCCATTTTACTAATCTTATCTTTTACAGTTAAGTTTACGTATTTCAAATTAATTCATTTTTATTAAATATTTATTATATTAAAGATATAAAGTGCAATAAATATTTTTTTTTAAATTTTATTGTTAATTACTTATATCAACTGCTTTCTCCTAGAATGGGTCACACTTCATAAGTTGCAGTGGACTATAACATATATTAATTAGTTTCTCGTACACTGGGTCACACTTCCTCCTAGAAACAAATTTACAAAATATACTTGAGCTTCCAAAAATAATTGAACAGATAAAAAAAATTGTATTATAAAAAACACCAATTACAAATTTGATTTAATAATTTATAATTACTTACCTCTTAAATCTTGATCGGATGTATACATGGATTAATTAGAGTTGGATTGGATAAGGAATGAAAAGCCATCACATACAACTTGACTAACTGTACTTAAAAATGAAAAAAAATGGTAGAGATGTGCAAAATGTGGATGTTATCAGAAACAAGTAAATAAGTGAATCGCACACAAAGAAATTTACAATTATAGAAATACCACCTTTGTTATTCAATAGATTTTCGAAACATTTTATAACAACAATTTGATTCTCGTATGATTCTCTTCAATAAAAATATTTCAAAACATACTATGCATCGGAATCAAATTATTGTCAGAAGATAGTTAATAATCCATCGAACAATTTTGTATCAGCATAATATATATATATATATATATATATATATATATATATATGTTTGACTTTTGGTGATGATGAATCCAAAGTTAAAATAATAATAAAATAACTTTGTTACAAACTTTATTATCTTTTTCATTATTATTTTAATAAAATTTGACTTTATATCTAATCATATATAGACACTATATTCATATAAGGATTACTCTTAGATATAATTATCCGTTAGCTGTTTTAGTCCAATATTTGGATTATCAAAATATTCTCTAAAATTATAAAAAAAAAAATTCAATTCCTAAATTTATTGAATGACAATTATTTTAGTCTCTAAAATTCTAAATTTAAAAAGAAAACTAAAACGCCTGAATTTTAGAAAATAAAGTAAAATGAGTTACCTGAAGATATATTACTACAAAAACTGAAGCAGTTGAGCCAGCAACGATCCCCAGGTACCACCAGTTGAAGAAAGAGCTCTTGGCATCCTTCTCCTCCGGCGTATCTTCGTCGAACTGATCGGCGGCGAAGGTTTGAACGCAGGGCTTGTGACCTCCATCGCCAATGGCAAGCACATAAAGTGCCACAAAAAAAAGGATTTTGTTCCTAAGTGCTGACACCGAAAGTGTCAAGAAAATCATGCCCTGCAGCATGTTCATGTGACGTGAGGATATATGATATTCTTTTTCCATCAACATACTCTAAATCTATGTATTAAATTAATTGCCAGAGTATGCATGGATCTGACTTGTATAATGTGGACAATCACAGGAAATATGCAAATCTTGAGATGGAATATTGGAATCATTTCAGATGTGCTCAAGCGTTTGAGTCCTTCGAAAGTACCCATAAGAAGAAGCAACCCACATAAGAATTTAAATTAAACGTGCGTTTGACAACGTATTTTTTATTAATTCATATCTTATTAAAATAAATAATGAATTTGTGTTATTATCTTATAGCCATTTGAAAAATAGAAAAATGAAAACTAACTAGTGTGTGAGTTTGGTTGAAATCACAGGAAAATTTATTGATGGGCGGGGATGATGATAACGTTTTTCGGTGTTTGATTTGACGCGTTGATTTTTCAATTCAAAATATTGAAAATATGACATGAGTCACTTGTGTTTAGCATCAAGAAAGTTGGATGGAAAAAGAAAAAAGAAAAAAGAAAAGATGAACATCTATCACTTAGATCAGGATCAAGTATCTCCTGTGTTTAAATTTTATAATCTTCATGTCCTGACCTCAATTTAGCTTTTTTGAGTTAAATTAATCTACACGTTTCTATATATTTTTTAAATTATAATTTGTTTTATAAGTTAAAAAAGCAATTGGATCTCTATTATTTCAAATCTTTTCAGTTAGGTCCAAATAAAATTTAAGAATAGATTAAATTTTAAAAGTATAAAGATTTATTCATGACTATTGAACTATAGATACTTTTTAAAAGATTCCTAAAATGTAAAATAAATTACTAATTAACTTTAACTTTATATTCAATATACGATGAAGTCTGTGTCCAAATGAAAAGAAACTATAATAGAAGGAAACAAAAACAAAATTGAATATTAATGATATTTATTATATTTGCTTTTATTACACTAAGCCCTTTTTATGGAAAGTTATTCAAAAATCCAATCTTTTTATGAAAGACATTACGTTTAAAAAATTCCTTTTACATATGAACTATTAATGATCATAAAATTATAACCTTAGATTTACAGGATGCACTTAAATTATTAATTTAACTGTACTAGAACAAAAATTTGTTGTAAACAAAAAAACTTTAAGTCCTATGATATTTTAAAGAATAATTTAACCTTTAAAAATTCTCTAAAATAAATCAATATTTTGGGGAAAAAATCTAATTTGTTAGCCAATATGTATAAATAAAATTTTTAGATCATTAAGACAGAACTTTGTTGCCTTGCCCCGTTTCAAAACTGATACAGTACTTTCACGATATAAAATACCAGATTAAAATTTAAGTATAATCCTCTAAATATTTTTAATATTATTTTAAATTAAAATTAGAATTTTTTTCATAAAAAAAGTTGATTTTCAGATTATAGTAAAATAGAAAATAAAATTACAACTTTAATTAAAAAATAATGCTAAAACCATTTAAGAAATTATTCATAATTTTTATTCTAAATTAAAATACTGTGATTATGAGATTCTGATAAAATAAGAAACATAGTAAATAATTTAATTTGACACTACTCACTCATATAGTAAATAATTTAAATAATAATTTAGCAAATAAATAAATATTTAGGGAAAGAGAAAACCTTTTAGGCAATATATAAGTAAAAGTTTTTAAGATCATTACATGACAAAAATTGTTAACTTGCCGTTTCAAAAGAATCAAAACTAAAAACTAATATAGCAATTATGTGATAATTCTTACTGTCACTTTAATTTAAATAGTTTTATCTAAAATGTTTTTTTTCTTAAAAATATATTAATAATAAAAATATTTAACATAAATTTTTTAAAGACATGAAAGCAAACAACACACGCTCTCCTTTCGCAATCCTATATAATGTTGCAGTTACGAGATTCCGCTAAAATTAAAAAACATATAGTAAATAATTTAATGTGACATTTATTATGGTTCCTGCACGAGTGGGACCATATACGTAATACTAAAAACTTTCGAAAAAGACAAAAATGTTGCATCACAAAGAGCAGTGATCGAGCACATCCATTAGATTCCATCCAGCAAGCAAGAATCAAGAAGGAAGAAGAAGAAACATGACATTATCACCAGATGAATCGATTAAACTTTTAACAATAGGAGAAAACAAGGGGTGAATTTTTAATTACCACGAGATAAATGAGTGAAGACAAGAGAATAGTGTTGAAGCGACCCACATAGGAATCTGCTATGAAGCCACCAAGCAAAGGAAAGAGGGCTGAGGCACCAACCCATGTGTTGACATCTTTTGCAGCTGTGGTGATGGGTTCATTCAGAACATTTGTGAGGTATGTGATGAGATTGCTAGCCAAGCCTTGGTATGCAAATCTCTCAGCAAATTCCACAACTGCACCCCAAAAGAGATTATAATTAATTGAGATCATGTATACATGTTTATGTGGGTGACCAAAGTAAATAAAGCTAATTAATGATGAAAATGGAGGAAAGAAAGAGAGAGAGGAAAAATGGGTGTTGGAGAAAATTAATTTAAGCTCACATATGATGAAGATGGCTGCATGCCAACCACCCTTGCGGGTTGTGGTGTGGTGGATGAGGGAATTGCTCTTGCTGCTGCTGCTGCTGCTATCTGCCATGATTGGGTGAAGTGGAGGTGAAAATGTTGAGATAAGAGTGAATGTTGGGGGTGTTTAGGTTTGGAGAGGCTCCATATGAGGGGGTTTAGTTTTGGTGGTTATATAGGCTCAATTCTGAGACTACTATGTTTGGATTGTGGGTGTAAGTGAACCAGCACTCAAATTTAGGGCAGGGAATGTAGAAATAGCTGGTACCTTTTCCTGCCACTGCACTCCTCTTTCTTAGTCAATGGGCTTTTTGACCAAAATGGCACAAATAAAATTTGTGTATTTTGTGCACCGCTTATAATTTTTGGGATATGTACACATTACCTGCCAGAGTGTCATCCTACTGTACTCTTAATGTATTCTTCAATGTGCAGGTTACTGGGTTTATACTCAGCTACATAACTTGGAAAATGGATTTTATTCACAAGGATATTTTCACTGTCAAAAAGCTCATCCATTCAAATTATATTATATCTATTCAATTATATGTTTTAACAATTAGAGGCTGCAGTAAATATCACGCTTGAGATATTTCAACTTCCATCCTTAAAATTCATTTTAATGGATTTGAATTATCAAAAATAAATTTCCTATTCACCTTAATCTGATCTATTATTTCAATTTTTTAAATACTTTTTTAATCTGTTCAAAATTTACATAATATATTTTTTTTTTGTTGATAAAATTTATAGAATTTAATGCAACTCAATGTATAAATAATTTTATTCTATCTAAATTACATATTTTTTATATAAAAGACAATTTTGTTAGAGTTGAATAGAATTATTGCAGATGAAAAAGCTCTCCCTACAATTAATTTAGTTGGATTCAGAAAGACAAATTTAAAATTTCTAATTTAGTTGAAATAAATTGATGACAATTAATTCATGTGCTTAGTATTCAATGTATTGCTATTTAATATTATTAATTATTATAATTTTTAATAAAATTTACTATTTAGTATTTTTTTATCATATATGTACAATTTTATATAAATTAAAAAATTTAAAAATATACTTGTTGATAATTATATATTAATAATGAGACTATTTAATTAATAATCAGAAATTTACTTAACATAATAATGTATTTATGATAAATTATTTAATTAAAATATATTATAAAATATATCTTTATTTGAATATTTGTTTTTTTTTTTCGTTAGAAAAAGTTATGTTTTTTAGTTCTTTGACTTGTTATAAGATTAAGTTTTATTTTCATAATTATTGATAAAATGTACTTAAATGATTTTCCTGTATTGATTAAGAAAATAAAAATATAAAATAATTAATAAGATAGTAATGAATATAAAAGAAATGAAAACTTGTTTAATATTTAAAGTAATTGAAAATATTTAATGTCCGGAATTAAATACTCTCTAGTGCCTGTTAAATACGCATTAATCATTAATAATATACTTAAAAATAAATTTGGTTTTGTACTTTTAATTTAAATTATTTCTATAATTTGTTTGATATTATATAATTTTGAAAAAAAAATTAGTATATGATTATATACCATTAAGAACGAGTCTTTTTATATGTTGTGAATGTATTTTAAAATTAAATTAAATTTTTAATAAAATATTAAAAATATATTCCATAATAACTTTAAAATTTTATTTAAAGTGTACATATTTTTATTATAATCATAATTGTTCTATTATATTAAAGAAAATTAAATTAAAAGAATAAAATTTAAAATAAAGAAAAAATAAAAATTTATATTAAGATTGAATTGAAAAAGTTTAAAAAATAAGCAATGATAACGCCAATTGAATTATACAAAAATCTTTGCTGGAGAAAAGATTTAAGATTTTATTTGGACTGAAAGAGCAATGTTATATACATACTTTTTTTTAACATATTTTAAATTATTAAATGAAATTTATTAAAAATCATAAAAATAAAATATTAAATTAAGTGTAAAAAAGAGTTGAATTCACATAACTTTTATGTAATTTTTAATAATTTTTAACTAATAATTAAGAGTATGTTGGAAAAAAGTATGTTATTATCATTTCTTATAGTCAAATAGAGAGAGAAAAAATAAGAAGACAAGAAATATAATAAAAATAAATAAAAAGAAGGAATTAATATTTGGATTAATTAAAGGAAGAGAGAAGAAAACAAAAAAAAAAATCTCTACTTGTTTCAATAATTAAAAGAGAAAATAAAAAAGTTAAATTATATTAAAATATTATAAAAAATAAAATTAATTAAAAACATTTAGCGTTTTTATCATAATATTTTTCTTAATAAAAAGTACTTTAAAATTGAAAATTATTTAATATTTTAATAAAATAAAAAAATAAGTAAACATCGCCACCAACATTATCTTTCTTCGTTTTTACTATCTTCTAGTTTGGAGGAATTTTTGTATGTGTATATGTGTGAGCCTTACTAAAAAAACATCTTTCTCCCATCTTTATTTTTCTCATTAAAACATCAAACCTAGTTTTTTTTCTTTTCACTTATTTCCCTTCCTTCGTTCCTTGCTCCTATCCAAACATAGTGTAAAGGTAGATATTATTTCACGGGTGATGTTTAGAAGCTTTCAAAGGATTCTATCACATTATGCATGGCAAGTCTCATACTCTGAGCTCGCAAAATCGAAGAAAAAGAAACAATGTGAGTGATTGGTGATGGTCCAAATGTGTGTAATTGGAAGAACAAATGGACTACCTTAAAATTAGTTGCATGAACTCGTTAACTCTTATATATACAAAATAATGAACGAGAGACGTGATTTTCTCTAATTTTAGCTAGTTTTAAGCTAGTCAAATTGTGAGAATTTTCATTTCTCATAGGTTTTCCAAGAACAAACTAATTTGGCACTAGAAAAAAGTAGTGAAATCACTACTTAGGTTGATCATCATATGGAGTGATGAATGAAGAGAAGGGCAATCAAACTCTTAGGCCATTTAAAACCCCTATCAACCATATTTGGAAGGAAATATGGCATCCACGTATACTAAAATTAATAAAAATTTCTCTATATTAGCCAAAATAAATAATTAAATAAAATTTTCTCTATTATGCTTAACTTTTTGTATTTATCATTCATAACTCTTTTCATACTTTGACTTCCACTTTTAGCATCCTTCAATATTGTTTTCATATTTTCTAGAGTTTTAAAATTTTCTATCCAAACATGTTACTATAAAAATAAATACTAATGTCTACTGCTAGAATGATGGATCTATGTGATTTATAATGGCTAGAGATCATATGGGAAGTATACTATTTTTAGCATACAGAAGGAAGCATCTAATTAAGAAGATATCCATCAATGGTTGAAGCATTAGTTTGAGGCAACATTGATGGTCAATGGTATCAACAAAACGAATGTTATTGCAGATATAGAACTAATTATTCAATATTGTAGAGAAATATTGAGGCATTTCTTAGATTGACAAATGAACCAAGTTAGAAAAATAAAAATATTGTAGCATATGGTCCAATTAATGGAGCTAGAGACTTTGAGCTAAAAGATAAAAAATTTGTTAGTAGAATGAAAGTTGTAAGAAAATGTTTGAAACAAAACGAAGTATTTTAAACATTTACATTTATAATGCAAAAAATTGTACAAAATATCAAAAAGTAAAGAATAAGACAAGAAAAGTTATAAGTAAAACACAATTTAATACTTTTGAGGAGTTATAAAAAATCTTAGAACAATAAATGACAAAACAAAGACAGAAGATTGTTAAAAATAGAAAAAAATAGAAATTTATATAAAAAATGAATAAGAAAAAGTTTTAGCTACAAATCAAAAATATCAAAGACAAATGAGAAACTATTCCTATAAAATTTATAATAATATGCAAGGAGTAAAGGGTAATATATAAAGATTAGAACTTCAAATAGATTATTTAAATTTGGCACACTATAACATAATCCAATTTAAAGAAGTAAAAGAAAAAAAATTTAAAAAATATAGCTAATGTTAAAGTTTTCAACTCTAATGATATTCCTATTAAAGGTTAAAAATGTGTATGAGATTAATGAATTTGTGAGTTAACAAAACTCATTAATGAGATTTTATGATATAAGAATATTTCAAATGAGCAGAGAAATGAAATTTTGGTCACTATATAACAATAAAGACAATATTTAAAATTGTACAAATTATAGAGAAATAACACTTATAAGTCATATTATGAGGTTATAGAAAAAGTAATTAAACCTAGACTACCAGAAAATATTGATATGGTAGAGAATCAATTTAGATTTATTGTAGAAAAGTTCATAATAAAAGCTATATATATTTTAAAAAGGTCAATGAAAAAAGTATCATTACAAAAAAAAAATCTTATATGTGATTTTTAATAACTTACAAAATTATATGATCATGTGTTGAAAGAAGTGTAGTATTAAAGGTTTAAGAAAGAAAAGAAGTTTGTGTACTATATATTCAAGTTATATAAAACATGTATAATAAAGTAACTACAAATGTGAGAACTCTTGCAAACACATTTAAGGACTTTTTTAAAGTGATATATTTACACTAAAGCACTCTTACTTGTATAACCTAATATTAGATGTGTTTACAAATAATATAAAAAATTATTTTTAAATATATATTTTTTACAAATGTAAGTCCTAGTTATGGAATCAAAAGAAAAAGTCAAACTTTTAAACTTAGAACTTTGAAAGAAAACTTTGGAATATAAGAGATTTTACTTAAATAAAAATGTTGTCATATTTAATTAATTAATTTTAAATATATTCCCTCTTTCTCATTGGAGACAGTTAGCAATTTAGGAGCTCTGCAGAGAAAAGAAGTGAAATGAATTGGCAAAACAAAGTCTAGGCAAACAATATATATCAAAGCTAATGTTAGTGTGTTGTAAGAGATATTTATGCAAATTAAAAATATATTTATGCAAATATTTTATTTTTAAAATAATGTATTTAAATATTATGATAACTTTTCATCATTCAAATAAAGTCCTCTCACTAACATTTCTTTCCTATTCATACATGTTGGGAGAGTTCTACACATATAGCTCTACCTGCGTATAATTGTTCTGCTTTGGGAAAAGATCTCTTACAAACGCTTTCTATATCTTAAGTTCGATTATTATTCCTTAAGTACTTTTCTAAAGGTGAGATTTTATACATCTTATAGTTTTATTAGCTCTGTTGACATTTACTTTTAAGATTAATTTTAAATAATAAAATTAAAATATTGTTATTGAAAAACAAATATTTATTATCTTTTATGTTTTTAATATAACAAATAATCTTTTAATAAA